TTCCCACAAAACCCCACCTGTTCTGGTGGCTGGAGTTTGTGCTGGGTGGTTTTTGGGGGAAGTGGAGTGGGGTGCAGTGAGAAGGACAGGGAGGAGGGTGCTGGCCTTGCAGGGAGCAGTGCAGGTGTAAAACCATCCAAATCTGTCCTCAAATCCAGCTGCAATGCTGCTGGGAGCAGAGCTGCTCTCTCCTGCCTGCTTTGCTCCATGTGGGACACGCTCATGCCATGGGAATTCTGCTGGCTGGGACGTGGACAAGGAGGATTTACCCCCTCAGGTGGAGCTGGGGGAGGGTTTTTATCCCAAAATAGTGCTGTGTGTGTGTTCTCCTCCTGGAGAAGGGGCAGGAGCCACCCTGTCAGGGTCTGTTCATCCCAAGGCTGCTTTTCCTCCCCCTGGCTGCCTTGGGAAGGGGCAGGAGAGCTGGCAGGGGTGGGGGGCTCTGTGTCACTGCAGCTGGCTTCAGGATGGGAATTTTGGGATGCTTTGGGAAGAAACTCGGCAGGTTGTGGGGAGAGGGTCGAGCTGAGCCAGTTGAAATGAAAAACAAAAGTTTGGTGAGGCTGGCAGTGTGCTCTGGGGCCATCTCCCTTGCCCTGGAGCCCGCATTTCCCCCCAGGGTGTGTGGCTGGTTCCCTCTCGGTGCCAGTGAGGCTGGTTGGGAGCCCTGGCACAGCTCCAGGCTGGACAGCAGCCACCCCCAAAAGCTTCTATCGACTCCCTGGCAGCCCAGCCCTGCCTGCTGCCAGCCAGGAGGGTTCTTCCCCTGCCTCAGCCCTGCTGGAGCTGGGGTGTGCCCGTGGCAGAGGAAGGGTTAAGCTCCCAGCTCCAGTGGTGCCTGAGCAGCTGGAGTCATTCCACTCCTCACAAAAGGCAGATCTAATCTATTACATCTTTATCTTTGCCTTTTCCCCTCGGGTGTTTGTTCATCCTCCAGCTGAGGAGGAGATGCTGGTGGGGTTGGCAAACCTCACTGGGAAATTTGGGGTCACTTGGAGGGCGAGAGCAGGGCAAAAACAGATCCCAGGGGTTTCAGAAATGGGCTCTCCTCGATTTCCCCAAATCTCCTGGCATGGAGCCTCCAGTTTAACCTGTTTTTTTTATCTAAATTTAAATTTCAGCTGGTGCTTGTGGAGGTTTTGGGTGCTGATGGGGCTGGGTGAGCCTCTGGAGCCTTTCCTAAAAAGGGTTTGGGGCTCAGTGCCTTCACTGCCAAGACCCAAAGCCTCTGAGGGAAAGTTTACTTTAAAATTCAGTGCATCAGGTCCCTGATGGCTCAGGAGCTATTTTGGATCTACTGAAAGGCATAAGAATGCTGGAATTAAGTGTTATTATTCCCATCCTTCAAATCTGTCGTGCAGCTCTGTTGCCTGGGGTGGGTTTTGTTCAGAGGTTGGTTGTTTTATTGGCTTTGGGATGTGCTGCTTGCCCTTCCTGGGGCAATCCCAGGAGGGGCCAGAGGATTCCCCCAGCCCTGGCTCTGGTTTCCAGGCAGTCCCTGGCTGCTTTTGCTGCTGGATTTTCACGTGCAGGTGGAAATTGGAAGCGTCAGGAGCTGGCCCAGCTGCCCAGGGTGGATGCCCACCCCTGAGGGGTCAAAGCTCTGTGGATGTGGCACTTGGGGACGTGGCGTGGTGGCACTCGGTGTTCCCAGAGGGCTTTTCCACCCTGAGGGATTTTACCACTCCCTGGGAGCTGCTGAGTCCCCGGGAGCTCTCCTGAGGAATCCTGAGGTGTTCCCAAGCCCATGTGGGTGGGTTTTGGGGGCTTTGGGTGCAGCGCAGCCCCCCAGGAGCTCTCTGGCTCCTGCTCTTCATGGAATTCCCTGCTGGGGCTGGGGCAGGAGCAGGGAGAGGGAGGAATGCAGCTGGTCCTGGTGGGAGCTGCAAAGCCCCAGGAGCTGCTGCCCCAGCCCTGCCTCGGCTCCTGCTCTTCCCACTCCTCTGCTGCCATCATTAAATCACCAAATAGGATAATGAGGCTTCATCAGCCTCATCTCCTCTCCCTGCAGGCTTGGTTTTGCTCAGGAGCATCTGTGTGCACAGGGAGGAGCTCCATCCCTGCCCTGTGGGGTCCC